TCTAGCTTACAGTTACAGATTAGGTCTGGGACGCGTAACTCGGGTCCAGGGTCCGGTGGGTACTGAGCAGGACCTGGGTACCCACAGGACTACCCGGACCCATGGTTAGTCATGTGATATATTGTTTAATGACAAATACTCTATACAGCTCAGTGGTTACACTACAGGTAGCTAATGATTTCTGACTATGCACCCATTCTTTCTACTTTTCATATGCTTGAATAAAGATATAGATTAAGTCAATTTCAGTGTATGCATGATCAGATTGTTTAATACATGTATCTAAATATGTTTTGCCAGTGCTATGGAAAAACAAATTCCAACCAACATTTTGTACCTTTCTCTTGAGACCTACAGTGAGTACCCGGGTAGGGTCAGGTGGTATGGGGGTGGGTACCCGGGTATTAAATTTGGACTCGTCCAGTTTATTTTTAACATTAACATGTTTATGATACTTTTTCCTTTAGCGGAATTTATATACACAATGTTTTGCTTGTTTCTAATCAGGATTTCATTATGAACTAAAATATGTTTAAACCACCAGTATAATTAAGGACATGTACCCAGCAAATATGCATGTGCCCCTCTTTGTACAGAGATGGATTCAAGATGAGTGAGTTGTAAAACTGGTTAGAACAATCCGGGATTTAGTGAGAATTCATTGACAGTGAAATTGGAAAAAATCCTGTTTGCAAAGTTTCTTAGTTTCTGCATGTAAATATAAAATATAAAGCATGTCTGTATTATGCTTGTGTGTCTGTGACCTTGATAAGGTTATGTTTCTCAGTGATTAGCAAAAGTTGTTTGTCATCCATTGATTACAAGATTAACACTGCTTAAGGTGGATTAAGTAAATCAGCCATGTTTGGGCTTAGGTACAGACTAGGTGTAGTTGGTGTACAGTCGGCGGAGAGACGCAGTATTGCCAGGGTTGAACCTATGTCCTGAAGAGTCGATGTTCCAAGTTCTGTGTCCTTCCTTAAGTTTGATGAGTGAATCCAATGTGTAATTAAGGTACTGTCAATCATGAAATTAATATAACTGTTCATAAATATAGGCTTGACTCGGAAAGTAAATTAGCTCGTAATTGTGTTTTGGAAATAAGCTTGGTTGTACGCATGCTGTAAAAGCTTCATTGTGAATTTACATGTGCTGTTTTCAAACAATTGAGTTTTCCATTTAATGCATGCTTTCTGTACACAAGTTAATTGAAAGTAACTGGGTTTTGTATAGTTTCCGGGGTATTTTACGCAAATACACGGCTTATCTGTAGCTCTGTGTGAGTGTCTGCCTCTGTGCTAAAATGCGTCATGAAATTATGCGAGTAGTTCTGTCTTTGAACAATAAATACTAATAACAAAAGATAACAAGACTGTAGTCTTAGAAACCCAGGATGTTGTGTAGGGTGATAGCAGTTGGATTGAATATCATTTGCTATCTTCACAAACATAACTTCAACGTCTTACGTCAATGAAATCAAAAGCAGGAAATTCAAATACTGTATTCAACGTAATAAGCGCCCACGGGGACATTTGCTAATATATTGTCTAGTGAACAATCCCAATTGGCACCCCTTCCGATTGATCAATGTACACAAGGCTTATTATTTCGCGTATAATACGCACTCATGTGTTATATGCACCCTTAATCATGGGCAATTAAATTCTGGAAAAATATATCTGTCATAGATAAACATTTCAGGCTGTCAGCAAAAACCACGAAATTTATCTTTCAACTCTGTTTTTTTCACCAAAATAATATTCTAATAAGATCCCACTATTTCTAATTTTGAGAGCGCCCTGGGCGCTTATTACGTTGAATACGGTAGCGTATGTCAAATGAGAGTGTAGAGGCTCCAAATGTTGTTACAAAAGTTGGTGCAGTCCTTTGAACATAAAGGAGCTGTATTTTGTTTTCACGACAATTTTGCTCTACTTGAAATGTTCACTGCATGAGTGGACCGCCTCCATGGTCTAGTGGTAGAGCGTCCGCCCGGAGAGCGGAAGGTCCGGGGTTCGACCCCCAACCGCGTCATACCAAAAGACGTTAAAAGATGTTACTTGTTGTTACCCTGTCTGGCGCTTGACATTAAGGGGCTAAAACAAGGACTGGTCGGCCCGGAGTCAGTATACTGTGTCTGAGTGGGGTATTCATGTTAAACTGCAGCATGGTATCTCAGTGAGCTAGCACTATAAATCGGCATCAGTCGGGACTAGTACAAGCAGCCACACAAACACACACACGTACATGCACATCGCTATATATGTGCAATAATCTTGGACGCCACGTTAAACCCCATTTCACCTCACCTCACTGCATGAGTGACCAGTGTTTTGCTTGTAATTATAAGATGGTACATTATTTAACAGGTTACCAAGAACATTGATGCCATCATAAACAGTTGGCAACTGTCATAACAACTTGAGACCTGTGAAGATCCAGGATAGCAGTGACACAAACTAACTGTTTTAGTCCACTTGTCCACTATGATAACATATAGCAAAAGCCTTATTAATGGCAAATGTCTACTAGCCCTTGTGATACCATAACTATTGGGAAGTTTATGACTTTAGGACTGGTGCCAGTTTCTAACGCTGGCTAGAATAGGTCTTCAACAATCCATGCTTGCGGTAAGAGGCGACTATGCTTGTCGTGAGATGTGACTAACAGGATCAGGTGGTCAGGCTCACTGACTTGGTTGATGCATGTCATCGGATCCCAGTTGCAAAGACACGTAAAGATACTGGTAGAATAGGCCGTCAACAACCCATGCTTGTGGTAAAAGAGAGTAACGGGATCGGGTGGTCAGGCCCGCTGACTTGGTTCATGCATGTCATTGAATCCAAGTTGTGTGGATCGATGCTCATGATGTCAATCACTGGATTGTCTGATCCAGACTCGATTATGTGCTTATCGCCATCATATACCAGGAATATTGCTGAGTGCGGCGTTAAACAACAAACAAATAAACATAACAGCTTGATCAACTTGTGTAAACAAACTGACCACACTTGACACCGAGCTTGATGAAAGTTGTCTGAATCTAGCACTTGTTAACATGGTTTATTGGGAACTTCGTTATAGATGGGGGCGGTCGGGTAGCCTAGTGGTTAAAGCGTTCGCTCGTCACGCCGAAGACCTGGGTTCGATTCCCGGCATGGGTACAATGTGTGAAGCCCATTTCTGGTGTTCCCCACCGTGATATTGCTGGAATATTGCTAAAAGCGGCGTAAACCATACTCACTCACTCACTCGTTATAGAAGTCAATGTTTTCACATGTGCAGTGAACCTGACATGACAATATACCGTATTCGACATAATAAGCGCCCACGTCGATATTTGCTAATATTTGGCAAGTGAACAATCCCAATTAGCATCCCTTCCGATTGTATACAAGACTTATTTATTCGTGTATAATACGCACTCATGTGTTTTATGCACCCTTAATTATGGGCAATTAAATTCTCGAAAAATATATCTGTCGTATATAAACAGTTCAGACTGTCAGCATAAACCACAAAATTTAACTTTTAACTCTTTTTATTCCACCAAAATAATATTCTAATAAGAGCCCCCTATTTCTAATTTTGAGAGCGCCCTGGGCCCTTATTACGTCGAATACGGTACTCCAATTTGTGCAGATAAAAATTTGTCACTATTTTAATGCGAGGAAAAGACACTTGCAATTTAGCGATTTCATGATTTTTGCACCATGTGGGATCTTTTTCAGTGGTTGACTAAGACTTCCTGTTTTCTGGCATTGACGATTTAATTCATAGTAATCTTCAGGTGTGTCATGAATAAACATCGCAAATACTTGAGTCATGATAAGAAATTTGTGCTTGTTTCGTGTGAAATTGTCCCGCTACCAAGTGGTTTTTGATCGGTTTGTGTTGGTTAACTGAGGCTTCATTTAATAGTATTGTCAGTGATGTTTCTTGATGAGTGCTGGTCATATAAAGCTAGCCCAAGTATTTATCATGTGGGTATATGCAAAACTATGTAAATTGCTTTTTTGAAAATGAAACATGACCATTTATGATATATTGTCAGTTGTAAATTTGTAATGAATCAATACATCGTAATCAATACATCCCTACTTGCTGCCAAGGTGTAGTTGTAAGATTTTTATAGTGTCCTAGTGCGCTTTCCTCCTTAGAGATCGCCTCCGTGGTGTAGTGGCTAGAGCAGTGTCCACTGTATACCACAAGATTCAGCAGATGCGGATTTTTTTGCAGAAATGTACCTATCTTGCACAAAATCACATTTTGCAGAATTTTGCATTTATCTGCCGCAGAATTCGTCAAATACACTGCAGAATTTTAACATGAGTCGAAGGCTGGTTTTAAACTCGTAAACAGATATTTATTTCGTTTAGATGTTATTATGTTTGTATTATTGCTTACCGAAAGTACATGCCTGTATGTTTACAGTAGTGATATTCAAGCCGTGGATATCCTAATCATAAAAAAACAGGTGTAAAATTACAAAATTCACACAAAAATTATCTTAAAAGTGGAGAATTGTGTGCAAAATTAGGAAAATTTTATTGCTGAATTCAGGAAAAATGACAGCAGAATAATGTTTTTTGCCTTGGAATACAGTGGGGGCTGAAAGAGTGTCTGCCCAGACAGCGGAAGGTCGGTGTTTCAATCCCTGTCTGCGTCATACCAAAAGATGTTTAAAGATGGTACTTGTTGTTATACTGCCTTGCGCTTGGTGTTATGAGATAAAACAAGGACTGATCGGTTCGCAGCCACCATACTGTGTCTGGGGGGGGGGGGGGGGGGGTATTCATGTTTAACTGCGCGGCAGGGTATCTCAGTGGGCTTGCACTATGAAACCGGCAAAAGTCTGGGCTAGTACAAGCATACAAACGGATGCATGCCGCTATTTAAGTGCAATAATCTTGAACATTAAACGCCATTTCACCTCACAGCATTATCACTGGCTAGAATTTTATCCAATCAAATGTCATCTAAATGTGCTTCTGATTCAGTTGTGACGGTAGATGACCTGACGTCGCCATGGCCATGAACTACGTGGGCAGCATTTCCATCATGGACCGCGGCGACGCCCCCGCACAGGCCGTGATGGACCGGAATGCACGGTCCCTGGCCCAGCGTGTGGCGGACGAGACGAGAGACGAGTTGGAGAAAGTATTGTCCAGGGTGGAAAATGTGAGGCTTAGAATTACAAGATAAACATTATGTGTTTTCAAATTTGGGGGTGTTATTGAGAATTTGATACCCACAAATTTCATTTGAAACTGACAGCGTTATCCTCAACTCAAAGGTTAATTACAGAAAATGGTAACAGTAACTGAGAATATGAAACTTTATAAAAATTAAGATCTCAAGTGAAAATGTTGCAGGATGAGTACAAAATAATATCTACTTGCCATGCAGGACAAGTTGGGTTTAAGAAATTTTGTTAGCCCTTCATCCTCCCGAGGCAAGACTGTCCACTAGCCTCAGTGACATTGAACCTATTTATCTTGGCTTGATCCTGGTACCACCCTGTGTAGAGCACTTTTGGAATGCTGAATACCAACCGAGTGAAGATCTGGGGTAGAATAGGTCTGCAGCAACCCATGCTTGTCAAGGCGACTATGCTTGTCGTAAGAGGCGACTCATCCTTGCTGACTTGGTTGATGCATGTAAGCGTATCCCAGTTGCATAGATCGATTCTCATGATATCAATCACTGTCTGGTCCAGACTTGATTATTTACTGACTGCCGTTATACAGCTGGAATATTGCTGAGTATAAGCAACGTATAAGGGTCCAGTAAACTTACCGTATTCGACATAATAAGAGCCCCACTCTAATAAGCACCAACGGTGATATTTGCTAATATATTGGCTAGTGAACAATTCCAATTCCTTCCTATTGATCAATGTACACAAGACTTATTTATTTGTGTATAGTACACACTCGTGTGTTATATGCACCCTTAATTATGGGCAATTAAATTCTGGAAAATATATCTGTTGTGTATAAAACATACAGACTTTTTTTTGGTATCATTTCAGCCTGTCAGCATAAACCACGAAATTTACAATCTTTCAACTCTGTTGTTTTTCACCAAAATTTTATTATAATAAGACCCCCCAATCCCTAATTTTCAGGGCGCCCTGGGCGCTAATTATGTCAAATACGGTATCACTTCTTTGTTGCTGTCTGGTTGCTTCACCAGCGTGATCTTTCAAGTAGTAGGCATTGTAGGCAATCAATATGTTGTAGTCTAACTATTCAAAATACTTTTTCAGATCTATGGCTCGTTTGAGATGAGCGGGGAGTACGGCTATGACACTAACATGGAGTATGTCAATGATATTGTAAGTATAGCTCTAAAGAATGGGCTGTAACACATATTGTAAGCGTATAGTGTGCTGTTCTGTGTGTTTCAGGGAAATATTCTATGTTATTCTCAGTCTGTTTTACAAGGCAATATCATAACGGTAACGCTATTTTTCAGGGCATTATCATTTGCAGATGCCCAAGGTCTTCCATTAACTGCCCGAAGAAGGAGTCAGTTGAAAAGACCGAGGGCTTCTTCAAATGATAATGGCCTGAGAAATAGCGTTACCGTTATTATAGCTAAAATGAATGGAATTTGTTGTTGAATAAAAAGAAACAACAATATCGGTTTTGAAACATTTACTGCAATCAACACGAATGTCATTGACCCACTTTTACAAATATGGAAACATCATAGAACAAACCAGATGACGTCACTATTGAACGAGACGTCACCTATCCCTATCCTATGACGTCACCTAGCAATGGCGTGATAATGGCCCATTGTCAAACAATATGAGGGCATTTTCAAGTTACAGTGGCCCGCTCATTTTTGATGCATGCGGGCTATTTAATGATAATTCTATCCATTTTAGCTATAATTAATGTTATTCTGTGTGTGTGTGTATCTTTGAGGGCAATATTCCCTGTTATTCTTTGTGTGTGTTTCAGGGCAATATTCCCTGTTATTCTTTGTGTGTGTTTCAGGGCAATATTCCCTGTTATTCTGTGTGTGTTTCAGGGCAATATTCCATGTTTTAAATCTATGTGTGTTTCAGGGCAATATTCCCTGTTATTCTGTGTGTGTTTCAGGGCAATATTTCCCGTTATTCTGTGTGTGTTTCAGGGCAATATTCCATGTTAATCTATGTGTGTTTCAGGGCAATATTCCCTGTTATTCTGTGTGTGTTTCAGGGCAATATTCCATGTTAATCTATGTGTGTTTCAGGGCAATATTCCCTGTTATGCTGTGTGTGTTTCAGGGCAATATTCCATGTTAATCTATGTGTGTTTCAGGGCAATATTCCCTGTTATTCTGCTTGTTTCAGGGCAATATTCCATGTTAATCTATGTGTGTTTCAGGGCAATATTCCATGTTATTCTGCTTGTTTCAGGGCGAGCTGGAGGAGCTGATTCGAGACCAGGTCAAGAAGAGGAAGGTAATGGCAACATCAGACTTACTCGATTTTAGATATTGCACGTTACCTTGAGGACACACAATGTCACTCACAGATTTAAGATATGTATCCATTGCTTGACTTGGTACTGTTCTTGCTGTAAGTCAACTTAGATTTTCACGTGATGGATGTTTGGAGTTGAAGGTGCACTTTGCTGGGGATGTACGTCTATCTGTCTTACACTTCTGTCTTCTGATTCAGTATCAGCAGCAGGTGTCTGAAGCAAGGAGTGGGTGCAAGGGCTGTGTCTGTGTGGTTGTTTCAATGGCTACATCTGCCCTGTCTTACACTTGTGTCTTCTGATTCAGTATCAGCAGCAAATGTCTGAAGCAAGGAGTGGGTGCAAGGGCTGTGTCTGTGTGGTTGTTTCAATGGCTACATCTGCCCTGTCTTACACTTGTGTCTTCTGATTCAGTATCAGCAGCAGGTGTCTGAAGCAAGGAGTGGGTGCAAGGGCTGTGTCTGTGTGGTTGTTTCAATGGCTACATCTGCCCTGTCTTACACTTGTGTCTTCTGATTCAGTATCAGCAGCAAATGTCTGAAGCAAGGAGTGGGTGCAAGGGCTGTGTCTGTGTGGTTGTTTCAATGGCTACATCTGCCCTATCTTACACTTGTGTCTTCTGATTCAGTATCAGCAGCAGGTGTCTGAAGCAAGGAGTGGGTGCAAGGGCTGTGTCTGTGTGGTTGTTTCCATGGCTACATCTGCCCTGTCTTACACTTCTGTCTTCTGATTCAGTATCAGCAGCAGGTGACCATCTTCATCGTGGGTTTCCAGGATGTCAGTGGTCAGAAGCTTCGCCTTCTCCAGCAGGTCAATGAGGTGAGAGACATCTGCCATCTTAACTTCATCTTGGCCAACATAATTGACATCATAAGAGGGTATTTGTATTGTTTTATATACAGGTACCATGTTTTGTATTCAATATGATTCTTCAAAATTTAGTTAAAAGGACCTGTGAAGATCCTGCTCCTCCTCAACCCATGCTTGCCGTAAAAGGCGACTATGCTTGTAGGAAGAGGCGATTAACGGGATCGGGAGGTCAGACTCGCTGTCATTGTATCCCAATTGCGTGGATCAATGCTCATGATGTCAATCACTGGATTGTCTGGTCCAGACTCGATTATTTAAGAACTGCCGTCATATAGTTGGAATATTGCTGAGTGCGGCGTTAAACAACAAACACACAAGCAAAGGGTAGGCAGTGTCTGTATATAGCATTGATTTGCTGATCCCTGCTGTTGGGGAGTTACCACTCGTGGAGTCGTGATATGAATGGACAAGCCGTGTTCCCTAATCAGATGAACAAAGGTGTGAAGTATTAAATGAGTGCGACGTTACCAATGAAACGAACAAACAAACAAACATTGTTCCAGTTCTTCATGGAGAACTCTAAGTCCTATGAAGAGGAGGACTGGTTTCCTGGGACCCCCGACATCGACTTGGAGGATGTCGCGGACAAGATTGATGACTCGCTCAAGACGGCCAATGATCTCACCAAGAGACTGGGAGAGCTAAACAAGGAAATTGTAGACTGCCTGGCAGCCTACGCAGAGAAGAAAGCCACTAATAAGTGAGTTCAAACATTATTGCTGGTTGGTTACATTATAGCTGGCTGGTTACATTATTGCAGGTTGGTTACATTATTGATGAGTGGTTACATTATTGCTGGCTGGTTACATTATTCTTGTTGGTTACATTATTGCTGGCTTGTCACAATATTTCTGGTTGGGTACATTATTCTTGTTGGTTACATCATAGCTGGTTGGTTACATTATGTCTGGTTGGTTACATTATTGCTGACTGGTTACATTATTCTTGTTGGTTACATTATTGCTGAATGGCTACATTATTAATGTTTGGTTACATTATTCTTGGTTGGTTACATTATTGCTGGTTGGTTACATTATTGCTGACTGGTTACATTATTCTTGTTCGTTACATTATTGCTGAATGGCTACATTATTAATGTTTGGTTACATTATTCTTGGTTGGTTACATTAATGCTGGTTGGTTACATTATTGATGTTTGGTTACATTATTCTTGGTTACATTATTTCTGGTTGGTTACATTATTCTGGTTGTTACATTATTGCAGATTAGTTACATTTTTCTCATTGGTTACATTATAGCTGGTTGGTTACATTATTTCTTGTTGGTTACATTATTGCTGATTGGTTACATTATTGCTGATTGGTTACATTATTCTTGTTGGTTACATTATTTCTGGTTGGTTACATTATTGCTGATTGGTTACATTATCAATGGTTGGTTACATTTTTGGAAAATGTTAATTAAGTTAAAAAACTATTCACAACAATATGTTTGTCACCATGAAGAATGCCTCTTCTACTTCATTTGAAAGTCAGGTGAGCTACAAGGTTGAATAAGCGGGGTAAGACCATACCCACTATAACTACTCCAGTTGTAATTTTGTTCTGGGAACACCCATGCACCCCAGAATCTTTCACAGGAAAGCAACATCTCCAACAAAAAATACTTTTACAACACTCTTCTCATATGTTGAAATGCCCTTCACTAAATTTAGGGCCAATTCATTTGGGGACATTATTTTGAATATAGATCAATGTTGACTAGGGATGGATATTTGAGGTTTAAAGTGTATCACAATATTTTGCGATGCACAAAGCCGCATTGCGATACGTATCATGATATATTGTATAATTCTAAATTTTGGTAATAATTCTAAACATTAAGGTATGAATTGAAGTTCATAAATGGAACAAAACAAGATGCTGGTACAACATAATGTTTACTCAATAAATGCGTTTAATCAATAAATACAGAGCCGTCTTGCGGCCCCAGATGCATGCTAGTGCAGCGAAGGCATTTGGCAAGAAAACAACATCACCCGATATATTGAGATGAAAAAATGATGTTGTGATACGTATCGTGGAAAGAATGAACCTCAATTTACTGTAGAATAGGTCTTCAGCAACCCATGCTTGCCGTAATAGGCATCTATGCTTGTCGTATGAGGCGACTTAGGATCGGGTGGACAGGCTCGCTGACTTGGTTGATGTATGTCATCGATCCCAATTGCGTGGATCGATGCTCATGATATTAATCACTGGATTGTCTGGTCCAGACTCGATTATTTACAGACCGCCGTCATATACCTGGAATATTGCTGAGTGCGGCTTTAAACAACAAACCAACCAACCAACTAACCAATCAATTTACTGATGTACCAATTACTGCACACCCTTCATGCTGACCTCTCATTCATGAAAGTCATTATGATTTCTTGAGCATCCGTGCAGAAAAGTCACTGCTCCATTAGTGATTGGTGAGATGAGAGAGATTTCACTTCTGAAATGAAGGGGTGGTCGGGTAGCCTAGTGGTTAAAGCGTTCGCTCGTCACGCTGAAGACCCGGGTTCGATTCCCGACATGGGTGCAATGTGTGAAGCCCATTTCTGGTGTCCCCCGCCGTGATATTGCTGGAATATTGCTAAAAGCGGCGTAAAACCACAATCACTCTCTCTGAAATGAAGCTACAGTCTCCATCTTGGGCCAGTTCTTTGTAGGCCTGTATAAAATAGTTCGATCATTTGGCTTGGAAGTATCAGCATCAGTATGACCAAAACAATTTACTACCAGAAACATCATTTTTGGATTTAAAGCTAAAATTTTACATCCCATAAACGCCATATTATTAATTGTTTATGAATATAATAGAACACAAATTATTTGAATATAATCAAACCCGTAAACAAAATCAGGAAGAAAAAATATAGTATCATAACACTTATAACAAAATGTTTTGCTTTTTCCAATTGTAAACAGGCCAAATATGATTCCTTCTAGTCATCATTACACAGAACTATATGTTTATAAGAAAAATGCCCCCCTCCATCAAATACCCTGGATAAAAGAGGATGTTTCGATGTAATACAATGATTTTGGTCATGTGTTATTGAGGGCCTCGAAAATAGGTGAGGCTCGAAAACATGTTACATGGGGTTAAACAGCGAAGGAGATACAATACCCTGGATTATAGAGGATGTTCAATGTAATACAATGGTTTTGGTGCAATGTGCTGGCTGATGGGCCAGGGTATTCTTTACAATACAATGAGGTACAATTCCCAGGATAATAAACCGCCTCCGTGGTCTAGTGGTAGAGCATCCACCTGGAGAGCGGAAGATCCAGGATTCGATCCCCAGCTGCGTCATACCAAAAGACGTTAAAAGATGGTACTTGTTGTTACCCTGTCTGGCGCTCGGCATTAAGGGGCTAAAACAAGGACTGGTCGGCTCGGAGTCAGTATACTGTGTCTGAGTGGGGTATTCATGTTAAACTGCGACATGGTATCTCAGTGGGCGAGCACTATAAATCGGCATCAGTCCGGACTAGTACAAGCAGACACATACGTACATGCACGTCGCTATATAAGTGCAATAATCTTGGACGCGACGTTAAACCCCATTTCACCTCACCCCCAGGATAATCCAGGCTGTTCCATGTATAACCATGTTTTCTTCTCTCCAAGACAAGTAAACCTCCAAGGTGGGGAAGTGAAGTAAGTCAACAGAGCATGTGTGCATTTGTCTTTGATTTACCGGCACTGTTTGAACAACCTAACCTCCGTCACATACCGTATTCGACGTAATAAGCGCCCCGCTCTAATAAGCGCCCACGGCGATATTTGCTAATATATTGGCAAGTGAACATCCCAATTAGCACCCCTTCCGATTTATCAATGTACACATGACTTATTTATTCCTGTATAATACGCACTCGTGTGTAATATGCATCATTAATTATGGGCAATTAAATTCTGGAAAAAATTTATGTCGTATATAAACAGTTTAGACTGTCAGGATAAACCACAAAATTTATCTTGCAACTCTGTTTTTTCCACCAAAGTGATATTCTAATAAGAGCCCCCTATTTCTAATTTTGAGAGCGCCCTGGGCGCTTATTACGTCGAATACAGTACTTGGTTATTTTAGTGTTGTATGTTGCTGCCACTAACTGATTACATCTCAACCCACTTGCACAAAGTGATCTTATTGCTAAGATGATCGTAACTAGGGGTGACTATTGGTCTGATAATCACTATTGCGATAACTATTGATATTGAAAGAAACTATTGCGATAAATATCGATAGTTTTCTGTGTATCATTTTAGATGGATTTTAGAGTTGAATTAAACCTTGGAACTGAAGTTTCCTTTGAATGTGATAACCATAACAACAACAAAAAAGGAAAGTTTGAGATATGACTGATTTGTTTTGTCTTTACCCTAAAAGAAACTTCCACATTACCATGCCTGTGTGAATTACTACCACTCATGATCAAAAGAAAAACAAATTTGACCAGCATTGCATGTATTTTATTGATATGGTAAATACAATCGAAACTATCGATATTCCTAACTAAAATCGATACTATTAATCGGAAACTGATTTAACAATCGATTTATTGACTTTAAGTGCTTACCAATAGCAATATATCCATATTTCGATTTATCGTGAAACCCCTAATCGTAACTCCCATACTTTAACACAGCATATGCTAGTCTTAGCACTAAGATTGTTTTATGCAAGTGGGCCCAAAAGTTGTTGCTAATAAATGGACATTTTGACACATTTATTTGAATAGGCAATTATTGAAGAGCACGAATATTAGAGCTTCAGATAGGAAAATATTGCCCCAAATGGTCGCAAGTATTGTAACTTCCTGATATTTCTTAACATGCTCAAAGCTGATTGGTTAGTTGAAGCGATGTGACATTACAGTAAACTACGTTTATAATGAATACACTTATAACGAACTGACCGATATATAAAACTTTTTTCTTAGTCCTGGCCATTTGTTGTATATATGCTGTATATATGCTTATACCGAACTATGGTTATTGCGAACTATAATTAGTGGTCCTTTCGAGTCCGTTGTAACCGTAGTTTACTGTGTATTGCTTCATTGTTGAGAACGATACGTTATGACATCATCTGTGTTCATGATATTACCCGTTGATAACATCACATAATATGAACATTCCATATGGTTTTTTTCATATTCTTCGATAAAATGACAGTGAGGAATAACCTCCTCAAAATTTCGGATTTACATATTATCTGTGAATGAATACTGAAAGTCATTTGCCAAAGGCGCAGGACTGGTTCCATTCATTCCCTCAGGAAATGATACAGAATTTCTCATAACTCATTAGGTATTCTCAAACTAGCACCTGTTAAAATGATGAGCCATTATGTTGACAATATTACTCGATCGTACATGAGCGTCCCATGTTTTGACAGGTTCAATGACCAGAACTGTATTGAGTTATGTCCCCTACCATTCTCTTTGACCTTGTGACTAAGCAAATTCCTGGATCCCTTGACCCTTAATACTTTAAATTTCTTTCAAAATGGCCAATGAAATAACCATATTATGTTTCTAAAAAGATATTCACAACAACTGAACATTTTCGACAATTAACAAATCTGCAAAAATTCAAGATGGCCGCCAATTTCAAGATGGCCGCCAAGTTTCCTAAATGTGTGTTTACAAGGTTGAATCATTTATCTCTAAAACAGTGTGCTACGACTTATATGCATATAACATGGCACACTAACTCATTGAAGTATAGTTAACACTTTTAGATAAAAAATTCCGTCACTAGAGACCCCTGGTGGCCCAACATTCCAAGATGGCCGCCTAGAGTTTAGGCATGTAGTTTTGAATACTGATGACGTTGTGGGATATGATTGTAAATGAGATGCAAACTAAACTATTGCCTATGTATTTTGCTTGCGTCAGGGAAGAAATCCTGAATGTTTTTGTTATCTGATTGACCAGGTCTTTGCCCATGTGGTAGTCGCCATCTTTGTGAAACTACACGAGATAACTGTGATCTGATATCTCGTTTTCATTACAAAGAGCCTAACTCGTGATCTACGTGAGGTGGCGCCAGTGGCGCCTGGATCGGACTCAACCCAAAAAAGAACAGAACTTGTACTTTACTAAGGAAGAGTTATCCCAAATTTCACATTTGTTGCACTCGCATTGTTTGAAGTTATCTCCCTTAGACTGGAAAACATTGGCTGCAGTCTTATGTGAAGGTTTTGCTAAAATAAATGGCTTTTTGCATGTTGACATCCTTAATATGTGAGTGTAGGTGTTGTTTGTGTTTGAAAAATAATTTTTAACAAATGAAACATTGTAAAATGTTATTGGAGAATTCCAATGTAGAGTTCTTTTAATAATTCATGATGTATTGTTGATATCTTTATCAGGTAAGTCTCGCTGTCAAGAGAACCTGTACTTTACTGAGAAAGTGTTATCGCAAATATAACATCAGTTACATTTGACCACTTTCTAAATGGCATTGTGTGTTCATAGTCATGAGTTGATGTTTCGCTAGATGATCTAGTCAAAATCTCTGTGCTCAAGACCGCCTCCGTGGTCTACTGCTAGAGTGTCCGCTCAGAGAGCGGAAGGTCTGGGGTTCTATTCCAGGCCGCGTCATACCAAAAGACGTCAAAGGTGATACTTATTGTTACCCTGTCTGGGGCTCGACATTTAGGGGCTTAAACAAGGACTGGTTGGCTCGGAGTCGGTATACTGTGTCTGAGTGGGATATTCATGTTAAACTGCGGCATGGTATCTCAGTGAGCTAGCACTATAAATCGGCATCAGTCCGGACTAGTACAAGCAGCCACACACACACACACACATGTGCATGCATGTCGCTATATAAGTGCAATTATCTTGGACGTGACGTAAAACCTTATTTCACCTCACCTCACCTCTGTACTCAACTTGTCTGTACATAGGGTCAGAACAATATCAAATGGGAAAATTGAAGAATCAGCTATTTCAGAAACTGAAGCCAGCATTGGGTCATGAAATATTGTTGAATTTTGTAATGGACAAAGTTTTTGCCTGGGACAAAACTATATTAAATTTTTTATTGCAGTCAATGTCATTAAATTTTAGTTATTCAATTAAATAAATAATAAGTTGGCAGGGGTGTTTTTAATCCTGTTCTGTGCCTTGAGACCACAACACATTTAATACGTCAAACTCTCATCTCTATAGCACATGTTAACATTCCTACAAACTGAACTTTGGCTGGATACCCAGGTAGGTCATGAGGTGTCTGATTGCATGTTGATGTTGTTATATGACTTATGTCATGGAACTGGCTAGGGCTGCAACGAATACACTATGAGGCAAATACGATTCGTATCACGAACATAGGGTAATGAATACGAATATTAATTCATGATTACAATAACAAGTCAGCAGTTGATGTATTATTTGTTATAAGAGTCGACTAACGGGATCGGGTGGTCAGGCTTGCTGACTTGGTTGATGCATGTCATCAATCCAAATTACGTGGATCGATGCTCATGATGTCAATCACAGGATTGTCTGGTCCAACTGGATTATTTACAGACCGGCGTCATAAAGCTGCAATATTGCTGAGTGTGGCGTTAAACAACAAAGCAAACCAAACCAAAACCATAAACACATGCTTATGACTATGGAAATGATTTTTGTCATTTCTTTTAAATGATTGCAGGTACAGATCCCTTCTATTTTCTAAGGCATTGACTGATTCAAAATGTCATTAAAAATGTAAGGAAGGTTGTTTTCAATTTCGTAAGGACAAAATGTCATAAAACCATTAGTGTCCATCAAAATCACAGTCAGTGTTCACAGGAGATAAGCTGATGAGCGGTGGGGTAGCCTTTTGGTTAAAGCATTCCTTGTCACACCGAAGACCTGGGTTCGATTCCCAACATGGGTACAATGTGGGAAGATCATTTCTGGTGTCACCCATCATGATATTCCTGGAATATTGCTAAAAATGGTGTAAAACAATTTTCACTTACTCAGTATGAAAACTCTGTTTCCCTATCAAAAGTTGAGTAATATATGGTTAACAATTTTCTGCTGACGTTAACATGTTGAATGTTGCCTGTGTAGAGGCAGGAAGAAGCTGGAGAAAGCCCTACAGTCCACGAGGGATGAAGTGGCCAATCTCAGCGAGAAGCTGCTCTCCATCCAGACAGGTAGGTGGTCAGTCTCAGTGAGAAGCTACTCTCTATCCAGACAGGTGGGCAGTCTCAGTGAGAAGCTGCTCTCCATCCAGACAGGTAGGTGGCCAGTCTTAGTGAGAAGCTACTCTCCATCCAGACAGGTAGGTGGCCAGTCTCAGTGAGAAGCTGCTCTCCATCCAGACAGGTAGGTGGCCAGTCTTAGTGAGAAGCTGCTCTCCATCCAGACAGGTAGGTGGCCAGTCTTAGTGAGAAGCTGCTCTCCATCCAGACAGGTCTCCCTCCAGACATGTAGCTGCTCTGCAGAACATGTAGAATCTAATCATTGAAATGTCTTTATATTTAGGAGTGAGTGGAAACAATGTATATGTGTCTTTGTTGTTCAAAAGTTGCCCTCAGTAATATGCCAGCTTTAGAACTGTGACGTGTAATAATCGAGCCTGGACCAGACAGTCCAGTGAATGATATGTGCGGCAATTCATGATCCATCAGTCTCCGTCTGTGACTAATGATGCGTATTTGTGTTGTTCTTTTCAGAAATTGAGGAAAAGGAGGAAAAGATGCAGGCATTGTTTAAACAGCTGGAAGTGAAGAACCTGGAACTCCAGCGCTTCAAGACAGCTGCTGAAGTTGCAAAGGTAAAACCGCGAAACAGTTCTAGCAGCTGCAGCTGTAGCAGATCACGGTGAAACAGTTTTAGCAGCTGCAGCTGTAGCAGATCACGGTGAAACAGTTTTTGCAGCTGTAGTAGATCACGGTGAAACAGTTTTAGCAGCTGCAGCTGTAGCAGATCACGGTGAAACAGTTTTAGCAGCTGCAGCTGTAGCAGATCACGGTGAAACAGTTTTAGCAGCTGCAGCTGTAGCAGATCACGGTGAAACAGTTTGAGCAGCTGTAGCTGTAACAGATCACGGTGAAACAGTTTTTGCAGCTGCAGCTGTAGCAGATCACGGTGAAACAGTTTTAGCAGCTGCAGCTGTAGCAGATCACGGTGAAACAGTTTTAGCAGCTGCAGCTGTAGCAGATTACGGTGAAACAGTTTGAGCAGCTGCAGCTGTAGTAGATCACGGTGAAACAGTTTTAGCAGCTGCAGCTGTAGTAGATCACGGTGAAACAGTTACAATGCAATCAGATGCTTGTCTACAAGACATCATCAGTCTGAGACCCGATAGATTGAATTATTTTCTTAATATTTTGGGTGGTTCAAATTCAATATGTGATCTGATAAGGTGTCTTCTTCATCTTAATTGACGGATTGGTGTTCACTTCATCGACCACCGATATTATCGGTTGATCTTCTACAGCCTACCATGATGTAGGTGTACTATAGGGACCCGGGGTAGAATGTGCCCCCGGAAACCAATTGCTAGTTGTGAGAGGCGTCTGAATTGAAACCTGTGGTGATTCCAGGTTAGACTTGGTTGCTAGGAGATTGCTACAAGAGGCAACTGGATGGATCAGGTGGTCTTGCTCCGTGACTTAGGCGTGGTGTGTCATCGTGCCTTGATGGTGTGGGTCAATTGCTCATAATATCAGTCACTGTATTGTCAGGCCCAGACTTGATGATTTACAGGCCACTGTCATATAGCTGGAATATTGCTGAGTGCGGCGTTAAACAGCAAACAAACACTCTGCCCTCTCACTCCCAAATGACAATTTTATGAGTTTTTGAGAGGATTGGTGTCTCATGTCTTTAAGTTTGGTGGGCACAGGTGGCCCAGTCATCTAAAGCGCACAATTCACTGTGCAGAGTTGTGTCCCTTGGGCACGCCAGGCACCAATGATCATAGGTTCATCTAAGGCCTGCATCACTTCGGGCATTCCTCCCACATCAAGCTGACACGCCGCGATATAACTGGAATACTGTTCAAAATTGGTTAAACCCAACTCACTCACTCACTCTTTAGTTTGGTTTCTCTATGTTCTTCTTTGGCTTGGGTTGTGTGTTTATCTCAGTGTTGGTAGGCTGGTTGTGGGTTTGGGTTGAGGGAGTACTGCAGCTTTTACCTATCTTCTCATGGTTGAAACAAGTCAATACTGAGATTTACTTTTTCAGACTGACAGAAGTGGGACATAAATGTCAGAAAGCATTCAGTTTTTTAAGACAAATTTGTCAGATTAGCAAAATAAATTCACAAATTTTCTTTTACATCTGACCACTGATTAAGAACATATGGTTCCTGTCATTCTGATTTCACATAAATTCAACAACATTCAACCAAAAGTAAGTTTTAATGTTGAATGCTTAAAAAATGGATGTCGATTTTACAAATTATTAAGACATTTGGGATACAACCAAATGTTATAATTTTGTCATTTCATTCATGATAATATCCCAGTAATCAGCATTTGGTTGCTTGGGATCATGTTGAATTTGATTAAAATAACTGCCAGCTTGGTTTAAGAAGATGAGCTACTATGTATTTATATCGATATGGAATGTGGTTTTCTGTTTATGATTCTATGAACATATATGTATACTCTCTGTTGTAGAAGCACGTTCACTTCAAATCTTAAGATTGATTATATCAGTATAGACTTTGAACCAAGTCAATGTTTGAAATATCACACAAATTTCATATATAGTTTTTCACCCGTTTTGTTCAGTGGGCTGAAAATTGAACTTGCATTTGTTTCGATGACAGTATCTTGCAATTGTTGGAAGGAAAAAATAACTCTTCCTTTAAAATCCGGACAAACTTGATCTAATATCAAGAATTGTGTATCAAACAAAACCGAAAATTACCATTTCCCTGAAAATCTTTCAAATGTCAATATGGTTAGAAATAACGTCTTTGTCAACTTCTTTATTATGAGGAACACAATGTTTGGGAGGATATGCTTGACCAGATGAAGGAGTAAGCATATACTCTGAGGCTTTGTGTTCCTCATAATAAAGAAGTTGACATCCATAAATTCTCTTCCTTAGGTGGGGGCGGTCGGGTAGCCTAGTGGTTAAAGTGCTCGCTCGACATGCCAAAGACCCGGGTTCGATTCCCGACATGGGTACAATGTGTGAAGCCCATTTCTGGTGTCCCCCGCCATGATATTGCTGGAATATTGCTAAAAGCGGCGTAAAACCATACTCACTCACTCACTCACTCTTCCTTAGGTGAGAAATAATATTTTTAAAAATGTGTGACATTATTTTTTCATTTTGTTTTTTGGACGTTCATTTACCTGGTTCAACTGTCAGATGCCATGATCTTTGCACCGTTCTTATGCATGACTTGTATCTCTCTTCCCTTCTAACCACTTCGCAAACTAACAGAAAAACGTGCAGGATTCGGAGCGGCTTCAAGCCGAAATAGCAGCTCGCGATGAAACCATAAAGGAACTTCGCCAAAAGGTCAATCACTTAGAAATAGAGGTGACCTCGTCTAATCACACCGAGGAGGTCAGTCAATCGAAGCTGGCATCAGTTGCGGAGGAGAATCAGGTTTGTGTAGGAGGAGTGAATTGTTTTGCTGTGATTCTCTGTGTTGTTATGAATCTGCTTTGTTTATTAATATTTGAGACCTGACCAATTGTTTTTTCTTGTTTTGTGAATTTTTTGGTCATTTTGCTGAGATAAAAAAGGAAACATTCAATATGAAAGGTTTCAGGGGTGAATTTCCTAAATTTCTGATTTGTCTTGAAATGGAGACATCACTGAGTAATGTCTAAATAAATAAGAACCAGTATGTACAGTAAACTACGTTTATAGCAAACTGACGGATATGATGAACTTATTTTTGTCCCGGCCATTTGCTGTATATATGCTGCACATATGCTTAGAATGAAGTACGGTTATAACGAACTAAAATTAGTGGCCCCTTTGAGTTTGTTATAACCATAGTTCATTATAACCACAGTTTGTTATAACCATAGTTCGTTATAACCATAGTTTACTGTATATTGTAAAAAACAAAAACAAGACTTTTGTTATTTTAATTTGGAAAAGAAATACAAACCTAAATACTGTAATACAAAATATGTCTAGTTAAAAATCCTAATGTTTTCTGTTTTTCATTTTGAAAGAAAATTAAAATTCATCCGTAAACAAGAATTATAATGAGTATGGTCTATTGAGTTTTGAAAACAATATTTATCTAATCATTGTAAATATACTTGAGAATTTAGACTGTAACATGGTAGCAGCTTATTGTATTTATTGTAACGCGTGTTATATCTGCATTAAATTTGATATTTGCTTCATGTAATATTTTCCTTTTGAAAGATGTATATTTATCACAGAAAAATAGGAATCATCTTGAGTAGGCAATTCAGCTGTTGAGTGTTTTGTGGAAAGTGTTGCAACATGTGTGTGAGAAATATATAAAGTCATGGAATTCGGTGCACAGTGTATTCGCTGGCCTTTTAGTGTTTCGGCATTAGAAAAGAAAGATACATTAAAAAGTGTACAACAGTACAGAGATTGGGTATCAGGTTGAAGAATTTGCTGAATTTGGGTAGGTAAATTGATCTATTTGAAGGGGGCGGTCGGGTAGCCTAGTGGTTAAAGCGTTCGCTCGTCACGCTGAAGACCCGGGTTCGATTCCCGACATGGGTACAATGTGTGAAGCCCATTTCTGGTGTCCCCTGCCGTGATATTGCTGGAATATTGCTAAAAGCGGTGTAAAACCATACTCACTCACTGATATATTTGAAATTTGAAACATTAGTTTGCTTGCAACAGATCTAAGCAGTGTTTGAAATAGAAAAGAAATGCCAGGCTGCCATCAGGGCCCACAGATTTAAGAAGCTGCAGGCCCTGACTAAACTCTTCAAGCCCTCATTTAGTCAAAACCTGCAGCTTATTGTGACAAATAAATATATTTACTGCAGGCAATAAGGACTCCTAGAATTTGATACAACAGGCTCAACCCAAGATCTGCCTGTCTCGCAGGCGCTTATTTCGAACACTGGATCTAAGTCCATGACATGTTTGAAGCACTGCATGAACAATATGGCTTTTGTATTTTTGTTCACAAATCAGTGCAGTCAGTGGAAGAGGAGGAGTTGTCTCCCTTACATAGCAGGCTTTATTTGTTTTTATGTATGAAATTAACATGGTTAAACGTTCATTGTGTCCATATGTTATTGTTTACTGACTAAAGAAATATATTCATAAATTGTTGTACTTTGATAAAGACCCTATGTATCAAACAGTGGTTACATTTAGGGCTGGGACAGGGTACTCGGGTACTCGGGTACTCGGGTCGGGTGGTTCCTGAGTAGGACCGGATACCCACAGGACTACCGGATCCATGGCAAAATGTATCGAGAACTTCCATGGTTACACCATAAGTGACTGATGTTCGCATTTCTTTCTGACTAGACACGCATTCCTTCTGACTTAATATGTTTGAATAGAGGTAAAACTTCAGTCAACTTCAGTGTATGCATGACCAGATCATTTTATACCTGTATATAAATACATTTTGACAGGAGTACAGTCAAACTATTCACAATCGGACATTTGTACCTATCTCTTGAGATCCCAATTGCGTGGATCGATACTCATGATGTCAATCACTGGATTGCCTGGTCAAGACTTGATTATTTACAGACCGCCGTCATATAGCTGGAATATTGCTGAGTGCGGCGTTAAACAACAAACCAACCAACCAACCAACATTGGGTAACTGGGTAAGGTCGTGTGATAGTGGGGTGGGTACCCGGGTAGTCAATTTGGACTCGTCCCAGCCCTAGTTACATTTAATTTCGACCTCACCGATGCATAAAATATTAATTTGAAGTGTTTATCAAGATGATTCCTATCTTCTGCATGGTATTAAACTTTCTTGTTTATCTATTTGAATTGTTCATGTACGTTAAGACTTATTGCAGTAATGTCTGTAGAAATCTAGGGTAAATAGTTTTAGATTTCAGGAGAGAAACTTACAAACGAGAGTAGATATAGATTATAGGTATAGCAAGGTACTAACTAACAGGGGCTAACTGTAGCTCTGTGTCGGTGAGGGGGCACGGATGGCCCAGTCGTCTAAGGCACCGCGATTTGCTGTGCAGAGTTGCGTCCCTTGGGCACACCAGAAACCTATGATTGTGGGTTCGAATCCTGGCTCCCGATTATGTTTCTCGGTTTGTCAGCACCATACCAGTGCTCGTGGGTTTCACCGAAGTGGTAAACGTATGAGACCAGTATCACTTCGGGCTTTCCTCCCACATTAAGCTGACACGCCGTGATATAACTGGAATAATGTTAAAAGCGGCGTTAAACCCAACTCACTCACTCACTCTGTGTCGTTGATTGTTTGAAGATCAACTTGAAACTAGTTGTCATGGTAATGTGGGATCTATGGTATATATATTTTAGTAACCCCATGAGGATTCTGGGTAAGAATACCTTCCCTTATCATAATTAAGAGCAATGTATACCACGGCCCAAAAAAATAAAAAATTCTGTGTTTTTGTAAATTCTGCAACTAAATTTTAATAATTCTGCACACAATTTCGCAATTTTTTAAAGTTTAGTTTTTGTCAATTTCATAGTTTTCGTCAATTTCAAAGTTTTCTTAGACAAACTTATCCATGGCTAGAATAGCTTATTGAAGTGAATCTGGAGATCACTACTGTAAACATACCGACATGCATTTGCAGTAAGCAAAAATACAAAAGACAACTTCACTTCAAAACAAAATAAATTCCCATTTTAAAAACCTGCTTTCGACTCATATGTTGAAATTCTGCAGTGTATTTGACAAATTCTGCACAAAATGTGTCTTTCTGCAAGATAGGTCTAGTTCTGCAACAAGTGGGCATTTCTGCAAAATATTCCACGAGTGTGGAATTGCAGAATACAGTGGGGACTGTAAGAGGCAGGCTTGGTCTACCCTGACAGCATGTGACTTTGCTCATGATATCATTCACTGGCTTGTGTGGTCCAGATTCTATTACCGTATTCGACGTAATAAGCGCCCAGGGCGCTCTCAAAGTTAGAAATAGGGGGCTCTTATTAGAATATTATTTTGGTGAAAAAAACAGAGCTGAAAGATAAATTTCGTGGTTTATGCTGACAGCCTGAAGTGTTTATGTACGACAGATATATTTTTCCAGAATGTAATTGCCCATAATTAAGGGTGCATATAACACACGAGTGAGTTTTATACGTGAATAAATAAGTCTTGTGTACATTGATCAATCTGAAGGGGTGCTAATTGGGATTGTTCACTAGTCAATATATTAGCAAATGTCCCTGTGAGCGCTTATTAGAGCAGGGCGCTTATTACGTCGAATACGGTATATACAGACTGCTGTCTGCAGCATATAGTGCTACGTTAAACAAGAAACAAACAAAACTATCCTTGGAAGGGACATTCTGCCGTTATTATGTTCACATGGGCATTGACAATATGAATAAATTATCAAAAAGTTAGTGATGGTACTTACAGTTTGAAAATAAACTTGTTGCAAGAAAATAATTATCATAATTTGCCATATTACTTTAGCGCCATCTGACCAACTTCAAGACAAATTTGTAATAAATCTGTATAAGTGCCCATACAAAGCCTCAAAATGTATTTTACAGTTTTTTTTCACAGGCTATGCAGCAGTCTAGAAGGCAGTGTATATAATTGCATAGTAAATATTAGTTTCAGTTTTTTAATTGACATTTGATAAGTTTGACTTGTGTATGTTTATATGAAGCGCCTTGTTTTGTGTATGTTCTTTGCAACCAGGGCAGTTATTACAGCGATTATGGTATTTCAAGTACAATAAACCACTGAAAATTGTACAGATATGCTTGACATGTCTTGGAGACATAAACTTATGTTTTCCATTGTTCAGACTGGGAGAGAAGTTGTGAGTTACCTCCCTTTGAGCACAGTGTTGGCGTGTTGAATCACCTGTAGAAGCAAGCCATGCTAGATCACTCTAGGCAGGGTAGTTAGGGGAGTAGTATATCTCACATGTCATAGACAGCTGTTAGGAAACATGTTTGCCATCACTGCATGGTTATTGCGGACACCTAGCTAGTTGTAGGACACCTAGATCTTGTAGCAACATTTTGTACAAAAACGTGCTGGAACCTCTGATGTATTAGAGTCTTTCAGTGCCAATAGTGTGACATTGTTGCACGTTTCTTTCACTTGGGACTTTTTAAGGGGATGGGTTGCATATCTTCGGCAAAACCTATGATCGTGGGTTCGAATCCCGATTCACCCTGATTTTGTTTCTAGGTTTGTCAGCACCATACCCGTGCTCGTGGGTTTCACCGAAGTGGTAAACATCTGAGACATGCATCACTTTCGGCCTTCCTCCCACATTTAGCTGATACACCGTGATACAACGAGAATACTGTTCAAAGCAGTGTTGAACCCAAGTCACTCACTCACTCAACTTATACACAGGGTTAGCCTGTTCATGGCTTCTTCCAAGTAAGGAGTCTGTACTATAATGATGGCTTGCTTTGGATCTGACTCTCTCCGTGGTCTAGTGGTCTAATGGTCTAATGGTAGAACATCCGCGCGGAGAGTGGAAAGTCAAGGGTTCAATCTCTGACCATGTCATACCAGAAGACGTTAAAAGATGTACTTGTTGTTACCCTGCCTGGCGCTCGGCATTAAGGGGCTAAAACAAGGACTGGTAGGCTCGGAGTCAGTATACTGTGTCTGAGTGGGGTATTTATGTTAAACTGCAGCATGGTATCTCAGTGGGCTAGCACTATGAAATCGGTATTAGTCAGGACTAGTAGAAGCAGCCACACACACGTGCATACACGTCGCTATATAAGTGCAATAATCTTAGATGCGAAATTAAACCCTATTCACCTAACCTGCTTTTGGAATAGGACTTAAGATAGGCAGTCAGACAGAGAATAGTGAATCTTGTTTCAACAGAATACCTATTGCAGTTAACAATTGGGTGTTGCCAGACCTTGCCCTGGAACGAGTTCTATCGAGTCAATTTTGTAAAGAATGACTTCCAATTTATCTTAAACATCCTCATTCCAAGATATGTTCTGTTTGAAATAAAACACTTGAGCACTGCTATAAATAAGATCCTCTGGTACACCAGTTTATTTTTACAAGACCTGTGTACAGATACAAGGATGAACTGTGGGTAAGGACATATACATTCTTAATGTCATTTTTAATTAACTGGAGGCAATTAAGATTAGAAAGTGCTTTACATGGATGTTTTATTCACTGTCTTCATTTCAGAGAATATCTATCTGCAACACTATAACACTGTAACACTGTAACCACTGTAACACTGTATCATGCTTCTTGCTTTCTCCTAACACAGTTTCTGTATATATGTTACAGGGAATATGTCAAAACTGGGAATCTGTCAAATCAGGGAAAATGTTAAATCGGGGAAGGTGCCAAATTGTGGATTATGTCAAAACTGGGAATATGTCAAACCAGGCAATATGTCAAATCAGGGAATATGTCAGGGAATATGTCAGATCAGGGAATATGTCATATCAAGGAACATGTCAGGGAATATGTCATATCAAGGAACATGTCAGGGAATCTGTCAAATCAGGGAATATGTAAAATCAGGGAAAATGTCAGGTAATATGTCAAATCAGGGAATTTGTCAAATCAGGGAAAATGTCAGGGAATCTATCAAACCAGGGAAAATGTCAGGGAATCTGTCGAATCAGGGAAAATGTCAACCAGGGAATATGTCAAATCAGGGAATATGTCGGGTAAAATGTTAAATCAGGGAATCTGTCAAATCAGGGAAAATGTCGAATCAGGGAATATGTCATATCAGGGAAAATGTCAGGGAATCTGTCAAACCAGGGAATATGTCAAATCAGGGCATATGTCGGGTAAAATGTTAAATCAGGGAATCTGTCAAATCAGGGAAAATGTCGAATCAGGGAATATGTCATATCAGGGAAAATGTCAGGGAATATGTCAAATCGGGGAATATGTCAAATCAGGGAAAATGTCAGGGTCAGGGAATATGTCAGATCAGGGAATTTGTCAAATCAGGGAAAATATCAGGGAATCTGTCAAACCAGGGAAATGTCAGGGAATCCGTCGAATCAGGGAAAATGTCGAATCAGGGAATATGTCATATCAGGGAAAATGTCAGGGAATATGTCAAATCGGGGAATATGTCAAATCAGGGAAAATGTCAGGGTCAGGGAATATGTCAGATCAGGGAATTTGTCAAATCAGGGAAAATATCAGGGAATCTGTCAAACCAGGGAAATGTCAGGGAATCTGTCGAATCAGGGAAAATGTCGAATCAGGGAATCTGTCAAACCAGGGAATATGTCAACCAGGGAATATGTCAAATCGGGGAAAATGTCAGGGTCAGGGAATATGTCAGATCAGGGAATTTGTTATATCAAGGAACATGTCAGGGAATATGTCAAACCTGGGAAAATGTCAGGGAATCTGTCGAATCAGGGAATATGTTGAAACAGGGAATCTGTCAAATTGGAATATGTAGGGTCCCTGAAACTCCTTCATTCATTGTTGTTATTATTCTCTCAAGTATCAATATAACAATGTTAATGAGTTTTTATTTCTAAGAAAAGGTTTGTAAACAAATTATGCACATGTTCGGGTCCTGATGTTGAAACAAATAGTCAACATTGTAATCAAAACAACATTAGTATAGGCGTGACTGTCTCCTTAATTTTCTGGGATTATACAGTTTCAGTTTGTTTCATTCAATATGTGTAGGCCACAGGCCTTTGTGTACCGAATATAATAATACAGACTGGCTGTTTAACATTGGATAATAAGTTTCTTTCAACACGAGCATTATAAATGTATTTAGCTCAATTAACTAGGAATTTGGTTTAATGTAAATTTATCTTACTTCATCAAACACAGGGGCGGTCGGTAGCCTAGTGGTTAAAGCGTTCTCTCGTCACGCCGAAGACCCGGGTTCGATTCCCGACATGGGTACAATGCGTGAAGCCCATTTCTGGTGTCCCCATCTGTGATAATGCTGGAATATTGCTAAAAGCGGCGTAAAACCACACTCACTCACTCACTCACTCATCAAACACAGGGTTTATCTAGTTTGAACTTACATTTACATTTATACATATTCCCTGTAGCACATATATATATATGTAGACACTATAGCTAACATCACATGCTTGATTACACACTGTCTGTTGTATTTACATGGTAATATATACTTTTCTCCATCTGAATTGCCCCGTAAAGATCAGGGGTAGAATAGGTCTTCAGCAACCCATGCTTGCTGTAAAAGGCGACTATGCTTGTCGTAAGAGGCGACTAAGGGGATCAGGTGGTCAGGGTGATCCAGTTCTGGAGGTAAGGTGTTTGAGAAAACCAAACCAAACCAAAAGACAATTAGACTATTTTAATGAGAAACTGAGAAATCCATTTCAACAAAAGATGTCAGTTGTGTCAGTTTTCTTTCATTTAACTGAGATTTTTGTGACTTTAGCCTTTGATTTCTGTTTTTGGCCTACTTTTGAAATACGACGGTTGTGATGTAAGTCTCTTATGATTAAGACTGTTGAATGACTTAGCATGGTGTTGACTGAATCCATGTGATTGTACATGGATTGACAGAATTCATGTGGTTGTACATGGATTGACTGAATCGTTGTACATGGATTGACTGAATCGGTGTGCTTGTACATTCATCCTTTTTGACTTGGTCGAAGTGGTAAATTCATTGTGTTGCAGCATCGGATCACCAAGCTGACTCAGGAGGTGGAAGACAGGAAGATAGCCATCGATGAGGCAAAACGGGGTGAGAACACCACCAACTAACTACCATAAACGCACATAGTGCTTGTCGTAAAAGGCAACATCGGATGGTCACACTCAGTGATTGGCTAATCACCATAATACTGAGATGTGGGATATTACTCATAATGTCAACCATGGGTTTGCTCAATCTAGACTTAGTTATGTACAACAGTGATATAGCAGATACAGCTAACTGTGGCCAAAAACTGGGGCAAAGAAAGTTTAACCATGTACAGTCAAATATGTTTATAACGAACACACTAATAGTGAAATTGACAGATATTACGAACTTCAGTTTTGGACCCGGACATTTGCTGTAATGTTGTATATACAGTCAAATATGTTTATAATGAACACACTTATAGTGAAATTGACAGATATTACAAACTTCAGTTTTGGACCCGGACATTTGCTGTAATGTTGTATATACAGTCAAATATGTTTATAATGAACACACCTAAAATGAAATTGACAGATATTAGGAACTTTATTTTTGGTCCCGGACATTTGCTGTTATGTTGTATATACAGGCGAATATGTTTATAACGAACACACTAATAGTGAAATTGACAGATATTAGGAACTTTAGTTTTGGTCCTGGACATTTGCTGTAATGTTGTATATATGCTTACAACGAAGTACGGTTATAACGAACTAGAGTTAGTGGTACATTTGAGTTTGTTATGACCGTAGTTTACTGTTATTGTAAAGTACAACATAGCGTTAGAAATTGGCACCAGTCCTGTAGTCCTTGCCAAACTGCCCAGTAGTTAATGTATCATAAGGACTAGTAGAAATGTGCCACTTTTAAGGGCTTTGCTATATGTTATCATTATAAGGAGTAGTGGACTAAAAATGTTAGTTTCTACCGCTGCAGCACCTACGACTATACACTTTATCTTAGTGTTATCTATAGCATTACCAAATGGTGATGACCTGTGAAGATTCCGGGGTAGAATAGGTCTTCAGCAACCCATGCTTGCCATAAAAGGTGACTATGCTTGTCGTAAAAGGCGACTAACGGGATCGGGTGGTCAGACTCGCTGACTTGGTTGATGCATGTTATTGATCCCAAATGCGTGGATCGATTCTCATGATGTCAATCACTGGATTGTCTGGTCCAGACTCGATTATTTACAGACCACCGTCATATAGCTAAAATAGTGCTGAGTGCGGCGTTAAACAACAAACAAACCAAAAAAAACAAATGGTGATGTTTGTGTGCAGACCTGCAGAAGGTCCACGAGTCACAGGTGAACGCCCTCCAGGAGACTCACCGCACGGAGATCGACGACCTGAAGAAACAACATGCGGACGAGGTCAAGCAGCTGGTGGTGAGTTGTCTCCCATTTTTGTCGTGTTGGTTTTAAGTGAGGGGTTCCAGTGAATGTGGGTCAAAGATTCCCTATAATGTCGGAAGAGCCGATACGGGGATCAGGTTACACTGTTAGACCAGGCAAATCATGTGACTTGTATCTAGCTTATGTGGATTGTTGCTCATGCCATCAACCAGTGGTTTTCCACCATGGTAGGGGTGAAACGATACAGCATTGTAACGATATGATACGTATCACGATACACATTTTTACATCAGATCACATGGAAACTTCCTGACAAAAAATATTTCAGAGCAGGTTCAAAAGGAAAAGCTATCTGTAGATACATGTTCATTTACGTGGCTTTTTTTAGAAGTGAACTGACAAAAATGCCAGGGGTCATTAAACGAGTAGTAGCGTATCGTCTTGTATCGATACGGAAAAAAACGTATCATGCATCATATTGTCACATGAAAACTCATGATGCACCGATGTATCGTTTCACACCTACACCTTAGTATAGCTGAAACATAGCTGGCGCCAATGTCTGGGTTCAGGGACAGTATAGGTCCCCAGTACTTAATCCAGGAAGGATATCACTCAGAAGGGATGCTATTCAAGCATACCTGTTCAAGGGAGCATCCATGAGAAGCCCCCCTCCTGTTGCCTGGCTTCATCAGTTGGACTGCAGGCCACAGTGTTTGGATGTTATAGATGCTGCTTGTTTACAGGTTTCAAGATTAGAGATGTCTGGGTGTATCATTGCCCTTCACCTGGATGTCGTGTGTCCGTGCCCTTAACCTGGATGTCCAGTGTCCATGCCCTTAATCTGGATGTCCAGTGTCCGTGCCCTTAACCTGGATGTCCAGTGTCCGTGCCCTTAACCTGGATGTCCAGTGTCTGTGCCCTTAATCTGAATGTCCAGTGTCCGTGCCCTTAACCTGGATGTCCAGTATCTCTGCCCTTAATCTGGATGTCCAGTGTCCGTGCCCTTAACCTGGATGTCCAGTATCTCTGCCCTTAATCTGGATGTCCAGTGTCCGTGCCCTTAACCTGGATGTCCAGTGTCCCTGCCCTTAATCTGGATGTCCAGTGTCCGTGCCCTTAATCTGGATGTCCAGTGTCCGTGCCCTTAACCTGGATGTCCAGTGTCCGTGCCCTTAACCTGGATGTCCAGTATCTCTGCCCTTAATCTGGATGTCCAGTGTCCGTGCCCTTAACCTGGATGTCCAGTGTCCCTGCCCTTAATCTGGATGTCCAGTGTCCGTGCCCTTAATCTGGATGTCCAGTGTCCGTGCCCTTAACCTGGATGTCCAGTGTCCGTGCCCTTAATCTGGATGTCCAGTGTCCGTGCCCTTAACCAGAATGTCCAGTGTCCGTGGTATTGATCTGGATGTCCAGTGTCCGTGCCCTTAACCTGGATGTCCAGTGTCTCTGACCTTAATCTGGATGTCCAGTGTCCGTGCCCATTCATGTCCAGTGTCCGTACCCTTAACCTGGATGTTCAATGTCCTTGCCCCTAAAATGAATGCCCAATGCCTGTGCTCCATGACCGTGCCCCTAAAATGAATGCCCCATGACCGTGCTCCTAAATTGAATGCCCAGTGCCCGTGGATGAATGGTGATAAAGCGTCTAGGCGCTGGGGCCACTGAACCTGATTCCTGAAAGTCAGGCTTTGTGGTTCAACTGACTGTCGAAGTGGAACTCCCAACAATCACATTACTCAGTCACCCGTAATACCATATCAGCAGGGATTACGATTTTATCAGAAAATTGCATCTTACTCCCAAAGCAAAGCAGACAGTACTAGAGACTATACATGTGATCTGATACCACTCTGCTATGTGTTCAACAATACTCATCAACACACACACAATAGAAGGCTCAAGAAAGTCTCCGACATACTTACAGAATGTCTCTCGGGACAGTGGCTGCTGTGAATTGACATGCATATATTTCATTATGTGTGTTTGGTGATTGAGTGGATGTGTTAGGCATGCCTGACTTCATTGTAAATCTGGAGAGACAGTTCTTTATTCCTTGCAGCCTTTAAATATTTAATTTGAAACTTTTGGTAAATTGGTATTGCGCTTGAGAAATGGGGTATCTTCAGAGACTTGAATACAACGTAACCTTGTTAATCTGGATAATATCATTTCATCATGCCGAAAACCTGGATTGGATTCTCCACATGGGTACAATGTGTGAAGCCCATTTCTGGTATTCCCAGCTGTGATATTTCTGGAATGTTGCTAAAAGTGGCACTCACTCACTCCATACACTCTGGTCATTCTCAAAGTACTACAGTTGAACAATAGCAATCACTTTATATATGAATCTAGATTTACGCAGCATGGTGCCCCAGACCAGTTTCTCCCCCACATAACTGCCTCATGCAACTCACAGAAAAGATGTGTTGTGAGTTGAGATCTTAAATATTCAAAAGTTTTAGAAAGTCTGGTACGAATAGGAAGATTATTCCACAGACAAGGGCCAGTTGTACTGAAAGACCTGTATCCATAGCCAATTGGTGATCTTTGTGACGTGAATGGATTAACCAGTGTTGACAGGTAAGCTAGTGCTCAGGTTTGTGGACATCTGTAGGTGAGATAAAAAACGTCATAGTTGATCCTGGACTTGACTGGAAGCCTGTGCAGGGCCTTCTGTATGTCTCTGTTGTCACAGTACTTGATCGGAATAAAAGGTTTATATAGGGGCTATCGGGTAGCCTAGTGGTTAAAGCGCTCGCTCGTCACACCAAAGTCCCGGGTTCGATTCCCGACATGGGTACAATGTGTGTAGCCCATTTCTGGTGTCCCCCGCCGTGATATTGCTGGAATATTGCTAAAAGCCGCGTATAACTATACTCACTCACTCACTCACTAGTCTGTCATACAGACCCTGAAACAAATATATCCAATACAGCCCATGCAAGTCTATAATGTTTGGCAAGTCAAGATTACTCTGCAAATAAAGAAAGTCTCTGGGCTCCTTTTTATTATATTTTATAACCATAATTTAACAACTGTTTTTTCTGTACAATAGGATTATTTCAGAGACTATATGTTAGTCTGGTTTTCTCTCATCTTTTTTCATCTTTTAAGCTCTAAATAATGATACCGTAACCTAACATGCCAGAACTTGTGAGGTCAAAGTTTATGTTGGAAGCCTTTTTTGCACATATGTAACAGTATGTGACTTTATAGCTTCTAATCCGAAGCCCGAGTCTAGTAAAATTCTGAGTCAAGTTGGCTCAGCTAGTAAAATTAAAATGTAACACTAAACTCTACTGAAATTAGAGCCATGTTTCGAGCTGGTAGTCTTAAAAGTTTTATGACAGACTGATGTTGCTGTAATTATTACAACTTCTACTATCACTTGTGACCCGTGAAGATCCGGGGTAGAATAGGTCCTCAGCAACCCATGCTTGCCGTAAAAGGTGACTTTGCTTGTCGTAAGAGGCGACTAACGGGATCGGGTGGTCAGGCTTGCATGCTGACATGGTTGATGCATGTCAGCGTATCCCAATTGCATGGATCAATGCTCATGATGTCAATCACTGGATTGTCAGGTGCAGATCGCCGTCATATAGCTGGAATATTGCTGAGTGTGGCGTTAAGCAAACAAGCAAACAAACTATCACTTGTATTCTCAACAAAAAGTCAGGTTCTTTATATGTTGTTTCATCCAACCTGCTCTCTCTGAAGATATAAGCATGAGGATGAGAAGAACACAAGTTCCTAGATTCTTTATTTCAGTACGGGGTTAAGGAATAGGTAATAACATGTACTTCTGCAGACCTACGGACATTATGTTCCTCATGAATTCAAAATGTGTCCAATATGTTTCTTAAGCATACAGATCAGATATCACAATGTAGCGCAGGGTGGTAATGATAGCACGTCCACAGCTGTAGTACTACATTGTTAGGTGGTTGGTAGGAAGCCCCGACACCGCGACTGTTTGATGTGGCTGAGATATGGACACTCTGTCTAGAGTACATTGTTAGACAGGCTATTGTTTCCTGGGGCCGACTTGGCAGGGGGTCGTGTACACACAGCTACCCACAAGGAGTTGACACGCTACTGTGATGGCGCTAACAAGAGAGTGGTGGCAGAGGTGAACTGGTAATACTACTACTAATAATAATAATATATAAAATAATAATAATAATAATAATAATAATGAATTATAATAATGATGATGATGATGATAATGATAATAATAATGATGATGATGATGATACTACTACTACTACTAATAATAATAATGATGAAAATAATAATGAAAATAATGATGATGATGATGATGATGATGATGATGTTGATGTCCACACCCTAAAGCATTCTTAATTATTTTTTAAAAAGTGCTCCAATATTACCCTGGTCAATGACTCAGTGTGCACTCAGTTTTTATTCTCAGCTCCCTGGGGAGTATACTACCCAAGCTGCCTGTGAGGGGCTAGCTTATTGATTGTCACATTACCAACGAATGCAGCATCTCCCCTTGTGTAAGTAGATATAGAGGACTAAGGTTATGCCACATGTGACTCATTTGAGGCTGCAGATGAACACATGCTAATTAGATGATACTTGAAACAGCATAGAGGTAGATTTGTTTTCAGTTTGTTTACAAAACCCAATAGATTGGACCAAAGAGTAAAAATATTGAATACCCGAAGAAAACTCATATACTCTAAGCAGACTCAAATATTCAAAGAAAACTCATATACTCAAAGCAGACTCAAATATTCAAAGAAAACTCATGTAGCCAAAGCAGACTCAAATATTCAAAGAAAACTCATATTCCCTAAGCAAATTCAAGTATTCAAAGAAAACTCATGTACTCAAAGCAGACTCAAATATTCAAAGAAAACTCATATACTCAAAGCAGACTCAAATATTCAAAGAAAACTCATATAGCCAAAGCAGACTCAAATATTCAAAGAAAACTCATATACCCTAAGCAAATTCAAGTATTCAAAGAAAACTCATGTACTCAAAGCAGACTCAAATAT